TTTTACTTTTCTAAAATAGCAATAGCAAACAAAATAAATTCTATGATATGGGTATAAGCAAGACATCTTTAAATTTATTTTATTTTCTGATCGAAAAATTTTAGTGCTTATAAACTTATTGTATAATTCATAAATCAGAATAATTGTTGAAATTGGAAGTTTTCTTCCCCAGACGTAGTCTTTTCAATCTTTCAAATGTATTTTAATCAGCTGAAAACGTTGCTCATTAAAATCGATTCAACCGAGATGATTAACGTGGCGGTAACTAGCTTTCAAAAACGTTTATCAGGCGACGAAAGCGGAGGCCCTTTTAGAGTTCCTAAAGTTAAAATTTCTCTTTCACAATGATGAACTTGTGAGCTCGCGTATGCAGCAATCGCGACGAGTTTTACATTCCAAGTCCCTAAAACATTTTCCGGATCAGAAAAGAAATAATGCAGAAGGTGAAAAAAAAAAATAGTATGCATACCCTGTGTTTCACTGCGAGAGGCCACCAAAATGCAAACTGTGATATTTATAACTTTAAGTTATACTAAGAGTTAAATTTATGTTAATTTCTATCCATGTTTCTTATTTCTTCTCGACACTTACTCAGACTACAGGTTTGTGCAGACTCAGAATAGAGGTTCTGCTTTAAATCTCTACAATTCTTATCTTGGCATTAAATTCATTCATTAAAAATATTTTAATAATCATCGGTTAAGTATTTTGGAATTATTTTGAAAATGAGATGTGTATGAATATAAATAATAATGAAATAATTTTGAATATTAGCATAGAAAAATGGAACACAAATTTTGCTTCTGAGTGTTAATATAAAAAATATGAAAACTGTAATATTAAATATTATTATAATGAATTCAAAAATATTGATGATTTAAGGAATTGAATTATTATAATAAAAGTGAATACAATAATGTAATGTAAAAGCAAGCTTTTTAGAAAATATTAACGGTAATTGAATGTCATAAATAATTAATAATTAAATGAAAAAATAGAGTATGTTGAAAGCGTACTAGTTCAAAACAAGAACTTTTTCACCTCTATTATATGACTGTTTCTTTCGGCACTCCTCATATAAAACAAACCTGAAGTAATACCTTTTCATGCAATAATACCTTTCAAATAATACCTTTTCATGCAAGGGCTTAAATTCTAAAAGTAGAAGTGCCAAAGCCCTATGCATGATCGTCAGGAAAGAGCAACAAGAGTAAATAAATAAATAAATAAAATGACTATTAAGTAAATAAATAAAATGACTATTAATTAAATAAATAAAATGACTATTAAGTAAATAAATAAATAAATAAAATGACTATAGTAATAAATAAATAAATAAAATGACTATTAAGTAAATAAATAATAAATAAAATGACCTGAAGGCTCCTACCTATAAAAAATATGTTTTATACATAATTATTATTATTATTAGTTCTTTTTATATACACAGGGAAATGGGGTTTAATTGTTTTATATATAATGGAATGTTTAATGCAGTTCGCACAGCCTAGTTACGTTATGCAAAAAACGGGGGCCTTTATAAGTAACTATGTGTGTGTGATTATGTTAAAGCCTTGAAGGCTATCTGCCTAAGGGGAGGGATGCCTTCGTGGAGAACTTTCTAAGGGAAACTGGTTCGTATACACGTTATACATGGGGAAAACTACGAAAACGCCCATGCAGCCAGCCCGTTCACAGGATTCGAACCAAATTACCAGTGTTCAGCGACTTACCAGTATTACCAGTGTTCAGCGATTACCAGCCTATCGCTCGGCCGCTGGTGGACTATAAGAATCTGACAAGCGTCCTTTTAACCATCGAAAAAATATTAATACATCAATTCGTTAAAGTGGATACGCCCAGTTGATGGGTATGTTTATATTCGAAAAAAAGCTGTGGGGTCCTCCAGTTTTGCATAAAATAAAGAATTAAAAATGGAATAGCAAAAGCAACTATAATTTCAATAAAAATATTATAAAATTTATTATGTTAAAATATAAGTTATAAATGATAAAATTATTGTGATATAAAATTTTGAGGTTTATTGATTTGAGATTTTATTTTCATTGATTAATTTTGAGATTTATGATTATTTAAAATAAGTGTTGTGTATATAAAAGTTTTATAACTGTGATATTATTTGTAAAAATTTTGAAAAATCTTCCCTGAAGAATCAGTGTTATGCAGTGCAGACTTTCTAGAAACTTGTTCCAGACTGGACTGAAAACTTGATAGGATTCCAAAGCTTGCATTTATTGTCAAAATGCTTATTAAAACAAATTATAATTATTTTTTAAAATTATTTTGGATCATAGTTTAATTTTTTCCAAAATTATACTTCTCTTTTGTTCCTCAATTTCTTTTTCTCTCAAAAAGGTGTTCTCTCTTGTTAAGCCTTTGTATCTCGGAAAATAAACAGCACTTTTTTCAGCTTTGACTTTCCAGCTGCTATTGCTAATACGCGCCGTTCATTTCTATCTATCGTCCCTTGTCTGAAGATGAGGTAAGCTTTCAAAATTGTAGAATGCATGCTGCACTCATAATGATGTGAATTAGACCGCCTATTAGGTCTTTTCATGCAAGGGCTTGAATTCTAAAATTAGAAGTGCCAAAGCCCTATGCAAGATCGTCAGGAAAGAGCAACAAGAGTAAATAAATAAATAAATAAAATGACTATTAAAATCATTAATAATTTAAAAATTAAATAATTAATGAGTATCAAAATAATTAATAATTATTTAATTGATATTAAGAATCAATATTTTATTAATTATTATTTAATTTATAATTATTATTAAACTTATATTAAAAATCAGCATTTATTATTATTATTCAATTTATATTAAAAATCAGTATTTATTAATTATTATTCAATTTATAATTATTATTTAATTTATTCGTAATTGATTATTTATTATTTATTAAAATTATTAAACATTAAAACAATTAACATAATTACAATTAAATAAATGTAAAGAGATAAATTAAAATTTAGTAATTGATTTTTTATATAATATTATTGCTAAAAATAAAATTTTCTAGATAAAATTTCTACTGAAATAATTGTTCAGTTGCATATAAGTGCGCTCCGGCTAGAATTAGAAATATGTAACAAAAACAAGGAAGTAACGGAGCCGGCGCAATTTAAGCTCTGCTTCCATGATAAAAGGGCCACCTCTTCTGGCCTAAGGAATGGCTAATGCTAAATAGGTAGGTGCCGCCATTGAATTAAAAAAAAAAAAAAAGAAAAAAGAAAAGAAAAAGCAGAATTTTTTTCGTTACGAAAAATATGTGTAAATAGTATATTAAACAACTGAAAATGTAGTGTTACATTACTTTAAACATTAAAATCGGCCTGATTCTTATACAACAAAAACAGCACCCATTTTAAGTGTTAGAGTTACAGTTTGATCTTCTGTTTTGATAATTGCAGTTCTTAGATTCAATAGATGACTACGGTAAGTCAGTTTTGACATTCTCATATTTCCACACTTTCAGAATGTATAATATTCAGCAGTTTTACATTACACCCATTTAAGGTTATCAAACAGCATTATTGTAAATCAGTCTGACTAAAGGAAAATAAAATTTAAAAAAAAATTCTGCCATCCCCCAGATCTAGTACCTTTTTCTTGCTTAAGTTAGTACGAAATACTTCTGCTGGGGGGTCCCACCGATTGAATCTGTGTGAAGATAAAATGTGACGGGAAAATAATAATCTTGACTTGAATAAAGGCTTTTAAATGACATAATAGATAAAATTTAAGTGGTATCAGATATAGGCTTCATTATGGATATTCAATATTCTTGTCATTTCTGAAACCTGGCGATTTTATGCGTATGACACTAGACCTTACAGGATTAACTCCTGTAGCAATAATTCTCAAAGGCGCCCAACTGGTACAGTGGTTAGCGTTGCTGACTGCCATGCCGAAGGATCTGGGTTCGAATCCCGGAAGAAGGCATGGATGTTTGTATATGTGTAGTGTGTCGGTGCAGCACTCTAAATATTCGGTGAGCCGAAAGTCCTCTCGTGTTTGCTGGAAAGGGAGAGAGGTGAGAAACTCTCGGACCCGTCCCCCCTGGGGTGTTCTCTATCAAAACTGGGAGCGTAACTGAGCAAAATCGCACTGTCTGCAGTAAGCCTGCTGCCAACGACAGGCGTATCTTGAGCGCTCCTTGCCACGAGGAATTTCGGGGGCTTGAGCTAATGTTGCTGTCAAACAAGTAACAACATAGTTCTCAACGTTTTTTGTCCCATGCACCCCTTTCTAAAACTCAAAAAAACGCATATACATTTATTTAATTTTAGATTATTTTTAATGTGTTATATATCTAATCTCATTCCCCCTCTGAAATAATAAAATTCCCTCAAGGGGGGAATTCCTCCCTGCTTGAGAGCCCCTTTAGGATATGTCCTTTAGGATACGTTGTATATGTGTATTTTGAGATCCATCTAGCCCAGACATGATATGCTTAAATAAACGATATGAAAAGAACACAAAATATGGAATTCAATAATGCTTCTTAAAAAAATGAAATCTGGAAACTGATAGCACTTTTCCCCAATTATAATTTACTGTGCTGATCAAAAGCGCCTATTTCTCTGTCTTCTCCTCATACTTTTAGCAATACGCAATTTGTCTTCAAATTCTTTCTTTTCTTCCTTTCAGGGCCCACCAGCGGCCGAGCGGTAAAGTCGCTGAATACTGGTAGTTCGGTCCGAGGTTCGAATCCCGCGAACGGGCTGGCTGCATGGGTGTTTTCGTGGTTTTCCCCATGTGTAACGTGTATACGAGCCACTCCCTTAGAAAGTCCTCCACGAAAGCATCACTTCCCTTAGGCAGATAGCCCTAGTGTGCTTTGCCATAATTAAATACACCAATCTTCCTTTCAGATTTTCTGCATGTATTCAAAAACAAAGAAAATTAATGCAAATTCATGAAAGAGAAATTATTGTTTTTTTTAAGTAAGTTTGTATGGAGACATGTAATTTACACTTTTGATGTGATTGTTAACTTTATTTACAAAATATTACAAAAGAAGAGTCTTTGGAAAACACGGAGTTACAAAATATGGTGGATATTTTCCTTTCGCTACGTCAGTTAACATGGCATAGTATAGTTTATAAAATTGTAAAAAATTTGTACATAAATTTGAAGAAGTATTACACATAGAAAGTTCTTGATTAAATTTTTTGGTGTAGCAAAACATTTTTGTTTTAAATGAATCGTTTCAAAATGGCTCTCATTAAATTCCTCAAGCTATAAAAGATTTAAAAAGTTCTTTACCAGAAAAAAAAAATATCTTGTCCAAGTAGTACTGTGATTTGACAATAACACGTACATACGAAAATAAAACGTTAAAAATAACGAAACTTTTCATTTTAAAAAACATTTTGAATAAATTATTCATAATAGTAACAACTGTGATATTATTTACTGTATTAGTTATAATGCAAAAATTCTGATGGTAAATTTAAAACTAATTTTCAATACCTGTTTAAAAAAAATCACATTCATTTGCAATTAAGTACAAACTTAAAGCTTTTAGAAGAATTAACTAAATATTAGAAGATTATGAGTGAACAAAGTTCTTACTGATCTTTGATTGAGATACAATAATGATTTTAATTTCTTCAGTTAATCAGTTTCTCTTTCAGTTTAAAATAAATTAACTCTAGCTGAATATTAGTAGTGATAATTTATAAACATTTTTTGCATAAAACATTCTAAACATATAAATTAGTTTAATGTACAAGATAACATAGAAGCATATAAACATATAAGCTTTTTGTCTGTTTAGAGTAAGAAATTATAAAGTTCAATGTCTATGTATTAATATATATATATATAATTTAATGACTTTGCGTTTAAAATCTTGAAAACTGAATGCTTTGCGTTTAAAATCTCCGTTTGATAATAATTTAAAATATTATTGGTAAGATCGAGAGTTTGTTTCTAAAACTTTTTCCAAGACGATAAAAAATATTAATGTAACTTATACAGTAAAGTTCATAAAAGCTTTCAGTGAAAACTTAAAAGCAGAAATGCACATTCATTCACAGAATAGTTTTTTGATTATTCACATCTAAGAGTAAAACGTTACATAATATTCCATAACAGACCCGAGATATAAATGCATGTAATTTGTGTTTGTTACCACACTAAATATTCAAATGATTGAGTTTGCAAAGTACGCTTTTTTTAAAAACATATTGCCATTATTGTAATTGCTTACACTATTCAAAATTAAAAAAAAGAGTTTCTATCTACAAAACAATATAAAAAATATTTATCACAGTTCTTGCGCATTGCATATGAAAACATTTTTACATAACATTGTCCCAAAGTTTTAATAACAAAAGTTTACTTGGCGACTTCCGTAGATTTTGTAACATTAAAAAAATTTATTGCAGTCAGTCACGTGATTCTTCGAAGAGATGTAGAGCTTCAGACTTCTAGCTAACTTTACAAATGGAACGAAACAGAGTATAATAACTCAGTCCGTTGTCTTTTTACAAATACAAATAGAGCAATATTATATAACACATATTCAAAGTCTGGAGTCGAACAGATCACCAGGTGTGATCATAGCTAACTTTCGGTCTTCAATAGCTTTGGCCAGCTTCCTTCTGGGACCTAAAGGAAGTCCTAAAGTTTTGAGATCATCTTCTGTCAACAACATCAGAGCTTCGAGGTCAATTTTTTCTTTGGCTAGAGCAGTAGTGTACTCCATCAAGCCATGCGCAACGAGAAAGACTACCATAGGCGAAGCATCCATACCTGTAAGTAATAAAGAAATGCCACTCAATGAGTATCTGACAATACAACCAACTTTATCTTTATGTAACAGAAATATTATTGTACGTTACTTAAATAAATACTAATATCAATACTAAACTGTGGCCCTAACTGAACTATGACTATCACCAGTTATGGAAAATATTCTTATGCTTTATGTTACATTAGCTAAGAAAATTAAGAGTTGACGAAATTCTGTTTAGAGTTATCAGCTCGAAATGAAGAGTTTCTTTATCACATTAAAAATATGTTTTTTTTTTAATTTATTAAAGATTCAACTTGTTATTTATTAGAAAACTGGTATATTTCTGAATAAATGGAATGTTTTGTTCGTAGAATATTTTTTTATTTGAGTTTCTGTTTCTGATTATGTAGTCCATGCTAAAACTTTTAATAGAATAATAGAAAATACTAGGTCTTTGATTAATTATCGTATTCTTTGCTGACAAAGAAACAAAAGGATATCACAAAATATCTTTAGTGTTCATCTTGTTAACTCTGAAGACTGTAGGATATGAAGTATAAGTACCAGAAGGAGGATATGTTAGATATGTTCTTGCTCAAAAGCATTGGTTGGCTTTCTTTGGGAATTAACTTAAGTATACATTATTTTTCTTTACATCGATTGTATTTTGATAAATATTAGCAACGACGGATGTAAAGATCTTATTCATGGACGATATGTTCTATAATACTGGAAGTTTAAGCTAAGAAAAGACTAATTTAAAGTGATAATCCTCCGCCACTAGGTTGGATAGTTCGAATTTACACTATTTTAATAAAAGTATTTGCGTCTTGACACAGATTTTTTCACTTCCAAACTTAAAAATTAAATAAAAGACACAGCGCTCCCAAGTTATATTAGCAATATTTGATTTATTTTTGAGAAATTTATTTATTAAAACGTAGTTTTTATGTACGAACGATGGTGTTATCCGGTTTAATTTCCCAGATCTGAAAGTTACGGAAAAATCGAGTCCTTTTTGAAGCTAGAAAGCGGAGACCTTTTTTTATATCTAGAAAAAATTAAAATTCAGTAAGTGAGGGTACAGGCCAAATATAAACTCATTACTCCACAATCATGCAAAAAGTTCTAACATTGTTGCATATACGTGAGACTAAAGAAAGCTTTTAGCCGATGATTATATAACCGAAAATATTTTGCCCAAACATTATATTGGAATAAGGAGAATTACTTATGCATAGCTGGTCTATCACATTGGACTTCTGCTTGTAATATTACGTTGGATACTAAATATCGGGTTTTCGTGAAAAAAGATTCTCTTTCCACACACAAACCTCTAAAAAGCGGCAGCAATGAGCTATTTTCGTGCAACCGTTGAGTCACGAGTCCCTAGAGAATGTCGACAATTCAGGTAAAGCGGACTGTTCCAGTTGTATTGGACACAAAAAACGCACGCAATGAATTTTTCACTACGCACGGATGGAATGCCAGATGGCCGTAACAGATGTCTTTCCTTTTTAGTTCTCAGTCACAATACATTTCTGCAAGTTGATTTTATTGATTTTAAACCTTGATACTATTTAAGCGATTTATTTAAATTACACACATGCTCTCATTTGTTTACAAATCAGTTAGTTTTCAGTAATGTAAAAATTAGTCTTAAGCGACATGCAAAAGTGTGATTTTCTTTTCAAGCAGTAATGTTATTTCTAAAGAAAGTTATAATATTTTTACTTTCAACCACAGTTCTAGAATTAGCCCATCATTTTTTAATAAACTCAAACTGCAAAACTGAGCAAATATTTTGTGTCTAACTTCTCAATTTTATTTTATTTTATTTTGGATGGGAGAGGTCATAAAATTTAAAGATACAAATATCACAGTTAAATATAAATTTTATGTAAAATAATTGCGAACTCTCTTAATAATCAACAACAAATCGAGCAAAAGTTGTATTTTGCTTAAAAATAATACTAGGGTAAGCTGTAAAAAATATAGAAAGCATGGATGTCCGATTAATCATTACGGCACTGCATTATATATAAATAGCCAGATAACACTTTAAAATTCTGGAATAAGTTAAATTCATTTAAAATGCGTATAGATTGTCATTTTTTTATTTAAAATAGAAAATTTATTCTTCGGTAAAGAAAAATTTGGGAGTTCTTTCTAAGGAAAATTAAAAAAATAAATTATTCATTTCCCGTACATGTAAATAATTTAAAAAGTCTCTTATTAAATCATTCTCAAATTTATCTGGAATTTTTGTTAAGATTAAGAGTTTTTATTTTGTAATTCAGATGATAGCAACTTACTTCTCTAACTCCAGCAGCTATCTTGCTTGATAATAAATAGTACTAGATGATTATTTCGAATGGGAAGGTGATATAAAAATAGATCATGCTGATAGCAAAGCAAGACACAGATAGGAATCTTTTTCAATTATTGGCCATTTTTAAAGCAACGAAACACTTCACTAACTTAGATACTTTATCAAAGTATCTAAGTTAATATCAAAGGACAAGATAAACTGATCATAACGATCTCAAACAAAAACGATGAAAGTCAGTTCAGAATCCTGTCTAATCTAAAATCTCAAATTAAGAGATAATCTTGGAAACAAACAAATCAGCTTGTATTAAAATCACTAATTCTTGAGCTAATTTACCAATCCTACTTTTAGCAGGTGCAATATTAATCTTTTTTCTTCTCTATCTAGTTTAGTTTTTAACAGATTGACACTGACCAATGTTATTTACAAACACTGTGGGCATGCACTTGCTTTTTAGCTGCCTTTTACCTAGGCATACGTTTTGTAATTAAATAAAACATGTTTTTGATTTCATTATAATATGAATGATAAACAATTAAAGAACGCGGTTACCCAAGGCATCAGTAATGAATGCTGTCTTGCTTTATAGCTCCAAAAAATAAATATAAATACTTTCCTTCTCTTATTTACAGCCCAAACATTTTACTTGGTGATAGTTAGTCTTATATAATCCTAAAGAAAGCTTAATAATCAGAATTGTTTTTTGGTAGTACTAAGAACTTTCTATTTAAATTTTGAAATTATTTATGAGAATGCTCTAAACTAAATTAATGTTCATTATATGAAATTATTTTGAAATTTTCTTCCTTTTTTATGAGAATTTATATAAATGTTTATAAGTTTTTCCATTTACCTTCATCATCATCGAAATGTCCTTCATCATCTTCCCATGGTGGATGACTATTCCTTTGCGCCAAGCTCCCAGCGCTTCCAATGCTGTCCTCCACAGAGTCGTTTTGCAAGTCGGAATCTTTTTCGCTGATTCGAGTTGAGTCTAAGTCCTCGTCGCAGTCTTCATCATTCTCTTCCGTAGAGGTGGACGGCAGTGACATCAGAGTACCTGACATTGAGTTCCTAAATGCGACTGAACCGAATCCCGGTCTCTCGAAGATGCTTCCGGATGGCTCAAGTGGGGCAATTTCATCTCCAAATCCTGAATCTGTTGCATGCATAAAATCCGGCTCACTAATAGCTCTAGAAAGCTCGCTTTTGTTGTCAAAGACATCTTTCATATGTCTTCTATGAGTGTGGCCAGATGTTGTGCTTTGAGTATCGTATTTTGGAACGTAAAGTACTTCGGAATCTCTGAGCAACCCAGATAAAGACCGAATGGATCGTTTGCCGTTCACTTCGGTCTCTCTAACTTTGAAATCCGCTGCTGTCATTACAACATTCTGTTTCTTTTGCTGTATTCTTTTGGACACCGCACCTAGTCCTTTCTTTGTAGTGCCAGCACCATTACTGATAATATCAGAATATTTAGGCGATGCGTAAGTGATTCGAGCATCCCTTTTTATGCTCGAAATAGTGAGACTGGAAGCTTTGCTAATAAGACCATTCAGCTGAAATTCCGAACCATACAGTTTCCGTCTCTGTTTCTCTATTTCTTTCTCTTCTTTCTCGGCTTTCTTCGCAGCTTTCCTCTGTAGCTTCTGGTACAGTTTCACCCTCTTTTCTGCTTCTATCACAGCTTTTTCTTTCAACTTCTGAACCAATTTCTTGTTAAGAGCACTTTGTCTGGCCACTACGTCGTCTAAATAACGAATAATCTCTTCTCGCTGGTTCATAGCTGCCACATTAGATGCTGTATGAAAATCATTATCCAAAGCCCATAATGAAACGCCGAAGTTGACCAGGAATGAAACACAATTCATGTGACCATTAGCTGCTGCCCAGTGTAAAGCTGTGTTTCCAAAGTGGTCACACTTGTCAGGATCACCCCTATTGGAATTTAAAAAAAAAAGGATTTTAAGGTAATATCAACACAAATGCGAAACAAAACTTTAAACGAAAGTTTAAGAAAACATTTTGATTAATATTTAATACTCCTTAACACAACCTGTCAAGGATTCAAAAGAAAATTTGATTTGGAATTGTTGAGCACCTCCAACTTATATGTTCAAAATGTAGGCATATATATATATAATAACTTGTTTTAAATTAAAATCATCTTCCTCATTTTAAAACTACTCCTTTCATATGTGAACATTTAGAAGATCATTTATACATTACATTCTGTAAGTGACTATCTACAAAACTAAGTCATTCAATATTTTAAAATATTGGCTTAAAATGTCCTAAAGCAGGAATGGGCAAAATTTCTCGGTTTCGGGCCAAAAATCAAAAGAAAAAAGTTTGGGGGCCAAAATAAATTTTACTAAAATTTTAAAAATCATGTACAAGTATTACAAATTAAATATCTTATAAAGATGAATGAAATTGCGATTTCACTTTTAAAATTTCCTTATATTGAGGTTCGAAGTGAGAGGTACAGATTCTAAGGAACGAGGCTAAATGCTCATCTGTCAGTCTACTTCTGAAATAATTCTTTCCAAGGTTCATAGTTGAAAGAATTTCACCACTGTTCAAAATGATGTTATATGTCCGCCAACTTTCCATACTCAATCAATACTACTAGAATTCGCACCAAAAGAAAAAGTCGCTGGCTGGAGCTTGAAATGCGCTGTGTGCTACATGTGAGTTCTAATTCACCTATATTAGATTCCCATATGTCTGCTTCCCGTGAAAAGAAATAATAAATTCTTGGCGTTAGTCTACAACTATAGCTAACAAAGAACTTCAACTTTTAACACTTTACCGACTGAAAGCTGTATGTGTTCGCTATTTCCGTCGATTTATGCTTTGTAGAACTAAAATAGAGGAAGTAAAAAGATCATCAGTCCTTTAAAAAAAGGAAGAAAAATATATTTAACAAAGTAGAAAAGGAGATTGATATATAATATATAAATATATATTTCTTTTAATTTGCCTCAAACCGGCAAATTAAAATTCTATCCGCGGGCCGGATAGAATCTTCCGACGTGCCAGAGGTAGCCTGTGGGCCATAGTTTGCCCACCCCTGTCCTAAACAAATGAATATGAGGTAATATACCTCAGTTATTACAAAGTACAGTTAATTACGCACAATATGTTTTTATAGTGGCAAAATATGTCATTTAAATATAGAAAAATGCAAATGTAAAATTTATGTATATTTTAACATTAATTAAGATTATTAAATTCGATATAGTTGTAAATCATTTCAATTCTACTACAATGCATACAACACTAGCTATTTTGATATTCTTAGTGCTACATTGAAAAATAATAGTATATTGATTCGCCAAATATTTCATAAGCCATAGGAAACAAAGTTGGCTCATGTAATTTCTTTCAGATATTTCCACTCGCAAGTATAAATTTTAGAGCTACAATCTTCTTTAATGCCTTTAATATAAATTCTCAGTACTGAATAAAATCTTTCAATAAAAAGAGGAATTTAAAATAGAAATTAAAATTTTTAACAGAAATGCAATTATTCTTCTTCATTTAGGTAAAATATTAATGTTTGTACAGTTACCTAACCAAGATGCCTCATAAAAAACATAAAACCTCACATAATAATTATTTATTACAAAATTCGCTACGGTATTAAACTAATGATACACAGCTATCAAACATTTCAGATGTTTTATTAATTATTGTGTTAAACATTTCAGATACTTTTATTTATATAGAATGCTACAAAATACTTGATTACTTTTTTATCACGAAGTCGTCGATTACAAAATTATTTCAGTGCATTTCATATGCAATGATAAAATTGTTTTACAATTAGAAAATGAAGTAAAAATGATAAAAAATGACGAAAGTAGTGAGTTTCATATCATTCCATCAATATAGTTAAAAAGTGGAAGTAATTATAGGTAAAGGAATTTAAATGCTAATTTAAAAATTAATCTTTTACATCAACTATTTTAAATAATTTATTTAATAAGTCTTTACAACACAGATTTCCGATATTTTTTATAATGCCTTATACATGTCACCTATATTAGATTCCCATATGTCTGCTTCCCGAGAAAAGAAATAATAAATTCTTGGCGTTAGTCTACAACTATAGCTAACAAAGAACTTCAACTTTTAACACTTTACCGACTGAAAGCTGTATGTGTTCGCTATTTCCGTCGATTTATGCTTTGTAGAACTAAAATATAGGAAGTAAAAAGATGATCAGTCCTTTAAAAAAAGGAAGAAAAATATATATTTAACAAAGTAGAAAAGGAGATGGATATATAATATATAAATATATATTTCTTTTAATTTGCCTCAAACCGGCAAATTAAAATTCTATCCGCGGGCCGGATAGAATCTTCGTTGCATAACTATGTAATAAAAGGATTCAATTTTAAAATCGTAAAATCAATTGATTGTTTTAATTCTTAAAAACTGAAAAGGCTAAGTTAAATGTCGATTTCTGTAATGATTTAAAATAAATGCTGTTAAACATTTTTTACCTATGTAGCTTAGTGTACAGTTTTGTTAGAGTGTTAATTAAGAAACTTTTACTAAGAATTAAATTTCTTCTCCTTATCTGAAATCAAAGACATCAAATTAATGATCAATTTACTTTTTATTAATTGCATGTGACTTTTATATATTCGAGAGTTTAGGGATCAGAGCGTTATCAAGTTGGAAATCATCGAAGTATGAACCTAATCTTAAACTAAATTGCAAATTTTTCGTTTTCATAGCCGATACATATAATTTTGAAAATTTGTACCAAATTTAACCTCGCATTTTGATTGCCAATAAAAAATATTATACACTTTACAATCTCTTACACGACAATATGCAGCTTCTGTAAGACAAACATATATTTGCTTTAGTCAAAGAATATTACTTTATTTTGAGCACACTATACGTTATTTTTTATTGCTCTCGTGTCTATTATAAAGCCTATTTAAATAGTGCCATGGGTGAAGATGAGAGTTCTGGCAATCTGAAAAATGTTATCAACATAGGGTCTCTTAAACAAGACCCCCCAATTTTTAGAAATTCAACAAGCATGACCAGACAATAAAAAATAAGTTACTTTAACAACATTTATATAGTTAAAATAGTAAATTTTTTTATTTCCGTGAAATGACATTAAAAAAACTCGCTTTTCTGAGCAGAATTAAACGACAAAGCCTTTCATTTACTAAAATTCAAATGATTTTTGTTTTAACTGAAACAAAATTTTAAAACCAGTTTATTTATTATTATACTTATTACTTTGTAAAACTAAAGGTTCAAGTTTTTTTTTTCCTTTCCGCTATACTAAAGTTAAATAAAACTTTTGTAAAAAAGACGCATAACATTCAACTAAACTAAGATTCTATTCAACAAAACTAAGCTAAGCTTCTATTCAACTAAACTAAGCTACGATAGTTTACTAATACAAAAAATAATTCGTAAGTAAATGAATTTATTTGAAATGAGAATAATGTATTCTTTTGCATTTTATTTAGTTTAACGAAAAATTAAAGACGTGCAGATTAATTATTAATAAGCTGAATTTTGTTTGGCTAGAAAAAGCTAAAGTAATTCTTTAAACAACTGTAAAAGTAAACCAACAAAATCTTACAATTGAACTAAAAAAAAAAGTTAAAGTGGGAAGAACAGATTTTTATTGCACTGAATGTATTGAAGGAATTAATACCATTTTTTCCGTATACGTTTGTGATTGGTTAATTCATCAGTCCTGTAGTCTGAAGGCGTAGTTTCGAATACCAGGGGTACCCTTATGACCTACTCAAAATCTTCACTCTCTAAAATTATCGAGTCTGTACAGTAGAATTCTTGATTATAAGTGAAAACGGTCGTACAGGCAGATCATCGAAAAATGCACCACTAAAAATTGATGAATGATCAACACAATAAACTGCTTTGTGTTAATACTATTAAATATTTACTAAACGATATATGATGGCAAACCAAAAATATGCAAATTTAACAAATTAGCAGGAGATATTCGTAAACATAATTTCTAGTGTAGTTTGGAGAGATAAGCATGGCACCGTTAAGACTAAAAATTTATACTGCAATTTATTAATTCAGTTTATAAATTAATTAAAAATTTAAAATATCTTTGAATCTTGAACAGCATCAATAACAAAATTTTTTCAGTACATTCTAATTGCGATGAAGTTTAATTCTGACGGATGGAAACTAAAACAGAATAGTAAATGCGATTCAGAAATGTAGAGCTGAACACGTGTTAATACGTGGAATTTCATTTATCTAGATTAAACGCGACCTTAATCCATACGGTTAATCGAGGAACACAGATAACTGATTCGTCTTTTTCTGCAAACCAAACACATGTTTTCTGCGATATTAGTGGGGAATGTTTATTTTATTTATTTATTCTCTTCTCTGCCCAGCAGATGTTATACAGTTAAAAATATGCACTGAAGAGCCAAAAATACTGGTATAGACGAGCCCATACCAAATACATTATAATGCTGCCTATGCATGCCACTGATTGAATCCGTCAATACATATGTAAAATAATAGACATTTGAAGAGTCTTTTATACCTATCCACATCCTTAGATTGCCGCATTTTTACAACTTGTTCGATTTTTAATGCGGTCTAATAACTGAAGTTTATGAAATGGATGATAGCATTTCAGAAACTACAGGTGAAATTTTCACATATGAGCATTTAAAAAGTATACCGTAATTAGGAGACTTCTGGTAAAACTTTGAAATTATGACAAACATGTGGCCATTACAGGACTTTGGATGAACATGACAACATTAATTGACAAAAAGCATTTTACGCATGAGGGAAATAATATTGTCCCAAGTAATTTCAGAATTCAGTACGAGACGCTTTAGGAAACATCCGTTTGAGAATTGTGGAATGCTTTTTCATTATATGGGCTTTAGGAG